CGGTTGCTGATAAGTCCTGATGATGATCAGGAAGAACTGAAACGTCACTTGGGCAAGTTATGGAAATTGTAATTGGTTCAAGTCTCAGCTGAGAGGCGTTCCAGGGGGAGACTGTTGCCTAATGAAAATGTATGAAATTGATGTCAGAGTCCATTAGGTTTAATTCTAATTATAGAAGATTTTTCGCATCATGTAATTAATAATGCAGAATGCGGATGAGGGGATAGTTCTGTAAATCCTATACACAATTAGACCAGCATCTTTTGTTGTAAAAGAGGGTCAGGGTCAGTTTTTCCAAACTTCTAAGCTACAAGTCTGGAGGTTTTTGTTCTTTATTACAGGAATAACGTTAGGATCGGTTTCTGTGCCTTGCAGGGTAAATGGTCTTATACCTGTATAATGCTTTTTCATGCATTGCAGCACACTCCAAGCACTTTCACACTATTTGGCCATTCACACTCATACACCTGTGACATCACAGGGAGCAACTGGCGGTTCAGTGTTTTTCTTAAGGACAATTTGACATGTAGACCGGAGAAGCCGGGAATCGAACCACCAACCTTCTGGTTAGGAGACAACCTGCTCTACCTCTTGAGTCACAGCCACACTTGGTCTACTGTGTTTGCATGGACCACCAGAGTCAGGCTGATGTTTGTATCACCAGTCAGTCAACTGTGTTCTGCTGGCCGTGCCTTGTTAAACGGAGTTTTTGTTGATCTAAGTGCAGGCTTTTACACCATTAGGTAAACATCGTACATTTGACATTGCATTGGGTCAAATCAGTCCATTCTGGGAATTTTTTAAATTGGTTATAGATTTTGGTCATTTTTGAAGAGTCGGATTTCCACCTGGCTTGCAGTGGATGTTTGGACAAAAGGGGTTGAGTGAGTGACCAAAAGAGAAACTCACTACGGTAAAATGAAGTGCCACCGCTTCTGTGTGACAGGAGAAACTTGAACAGCTGAATAAGAATGAATATCTTTGGATGGTGGATTCGTAGTCAGACTAGTCAAGACATTTAAAGGATTTGTAAAATTGACTAGTGCTGCAATGGATAGGTGATTATGTTTGTAGTCATTTTTAGGAGCAATACCAAACATTTGTGTTGGATTTGATGCTTTCTTTGTTAAATAGAGATATCTCGATGTTGGACTGTTAGACCAAACAAGATATTTCAAGACTTCACCTTGGTTTGGGAAATTACAATGGGTGTTACATTTACTGTTTTCTGGCATTATAGGGGCAAAACACATAATTAAAATTGAATCAGCAAATTCGCCGAATGAATATGCTTTTGGCCACTTAAGTAACGAGGCCGGCGTGTACAAAAAGATTCAATATACATTGAAATTCCATGGACTTTCATTTTGCTCTACAAAGCTGCTTTGAGTGCTTAGTGGAAAGTGAATCCACTATCTGCCTTACTCAGCACTTAGACTTAAAGACAGTGTAATCAGATAGTGTTGTATGTGTGGCTTAGAGAAGGAACTCTGTGACCCAGCCCGAATAAAGGGTCATGCTCAGGAATGCTACTGAATGAAGGTCTTCTGCAAGTAATGAGAAGTGTTGAAAGACTGGCAAAGTATTATATCAGATGAACCTAATAATCATGTCTCGCACTATCCCAGACATTTTGTCATCATGGTGGTGTTACATCTGTGTGTGTGTGTGTGTGTGTGTGTGTGTGTGTGTCTTGTAAAGACTAATGCCCTGTAGCATCGACAGTTAAAATATTGGAGCAACAACTTGCTGCATACATTTACATATGTAATAATCAAACCATTAATGATTAATATGGTATGTTAAACTTACAAGATATTTTGCATATAAGTGGTTTATAATGTATTTATTATCTTAATTAGTGATCTCATTAGCAGATATAATTTGTTATTATGATGGGGCACCAAGCAGCTTGGGTGCTTGGTGCATACACAGGCTATTTTTGCTTTATAGTTTGTTCTTTACTGTTATATGGATACCTCCAGTATTTGCTTTGTTGAAGTGAACATCAGTGATTCAATATTAGAACTAAGGCTGTACCCGACTAAGAATTTTGTCAGTCAATTCGGATTCAGCTATTCAACATGACCATTCCACTATTTGTTCTGTTCGGATGGATGCATGCCACAGAAACAGTCTGTAAACGACTGTGCCTTACACTTTAAAGATGGGCAAACAGCTCGGCACATATGCAAAACCAGCCACATCATCGCAACCGTTTTCTCTTTTAAAAGTAGACCACGCTGTTTGAAAACACTACTAATAAAGTACAAATCTCACTGTTATGTCACTTGTCCTAGTTGTATTGTTGACTTTTCTCCTCATTCTGGGCAGCAGTTTGCTAAATAATGTCATTGGACCTTATGCATCCATGCATTTTACAGTTTTTCTAAATCTGTTCATAAATATTTACTGGTTTGAGCTTCTTAAATGTTGGGATTTGTTGCTTTCCCCTGTTTTCTATCACTGTAAATTAAACTCCTGGTTATGAGATGGACATTGCTCTTTTCTGGCATTTTGTAGACCAAACATTGAGATAATCATTAGTTGCACTCTAGTGTGAATTACATGGTCATTGTTGCTGTCACCAAAAAAGAAAATTATGAATGTAAAATGTTATATTGTCTACATTATATCTGATGAAGTTGTAAGGGTTAGGTAGGTTTAGCATTAGAGTGTGTACTTTGTGTTGGCGTGTGGCATGTAGTCTGTGAATAGTGTAGCTCGTCAATGCTGCTGATCGGTTCCCCAGGCGCTGAGTGGCTCGATGGTGCTGAAGGACACTGTGTCCTCTGGGGCGGAGGCGTATAAATGCTGGAGTCTCTGGTCTCTGTTTCCTGCTGCCTGCTGCAGTGGGCATGAAGAGCAGTTTACGCAGGGTTAAGAAGAGACCTTACATGCTGGTAAAAGCTACCACAGGTGAGGCTCTGTGTGGAGGGGTGGCAAGCGTGGTGTGTGTTGCAACTTGATATGTAGAAGAATTGGTTTGTGGTTTAATGTTGCTGTGTAATAGCCTAAGTTCTGATATTAACAAGAGATTACAACTAATACTGTTGAAAGTCTGTTTCTTTCAATCCCCTCTGTCTACAGCTTTTATGCACCACATTAAGAAAAAGATGTATGAAACTGAATTAAACCTGTGTGCATTTCTGCTCCAAAGTTATCAAAGCTTTGCAATCAACCATCACTTCTATGTAGGTCACAGGATGAGCACTATGTTGGACATTTATCTCTGTGCCTTGTTGTAGCATGGGAAAGCAGGTCACTGGTTTCCTAAACAGTGTAACTGTCAATTTCTCCTCTGCCCTTCAGCTCTAAATTCCAGCCTAGTTAAAACTATGGATGGGGGAATTTGGTAACCATGAAGGGGTGACAGAGAAAATCTTTTTAAACTCTAACTGAACAATGCTAGAATGATAACAGACTAGTATCAGGCTTTAAATAATTTGCAGTGGGCATGTTAACATGCAAGAGAATAAAACAAGTTATTTTTGATTCAACTTTAGAGATGAATCAAATCTATTTGGGCAGAAGCGTGTCTCAGTGTGTTTCACTTTGGCATTCAAACTTTCAATGACTCTGCATTATATAACTGCAGCCGGGAAACTAATATAGGTGGTGATGCAGTTTTACTGGTGCCTGAAACACTGACTAAGATTATAAAGGAACTAATAATACTGGACGGATTGGGCCAATAGCATTATACGAAGGGATGGACCGAGCAGGCAAAGTCAGAGCTACAGGCCTGCTTTGACTGCACAGATTGGAGGGTATACAGTCCTACAGACCTGGATGAACTCACTGACACTGACATCATACGTCACCTTTTGTGAGGACGCATGTGCCCACCAAGACTTTCTGCAGATACAACAACAACAACAACAACAAGCCCTGGTTCACAGTAGAAGGCAGCTTCGTCGTGCCAGAGGAGGCCGACAGAAGTAGGGACAGGATCCTGTACAGGCAGACCAGGAACACACTGTCAAGGGAGATCAGAGTAGCAAAGAGGAACTACTCTGAAAAGCTGAAAAAACAGTTTTCAGCCAACGACCCCTCGTCTGTGTGGTGAAGCCTGAAAAACATCACTAGCTACAGGAAACCAGCTTTTTATTTTGATTTTCCTGATGCACATTCATTTTCTTTTCTTTTGTGGTCCTCTCAGTCTTATCTTGTCTACTTGTTGCTTTATAAAGGAAGAACACTGTACATACACACTGAGAGCCACTGTACCAGAGTCAAATTCCTCGTGTGTCTAACACACCTGGCCAATAAAGGTGATTCTGATATTATAGACTGTGGAAACAACTGCTCTTGAAATGCCATGACACATTGTTCAATCATCTTGCTGGTTACTGAACCAACCACTTCTTGTATCTCCGCTGCATTCATACCATTTCCTGTGCTAAATGGTATGCTGTTTCATATGTCACTGCTTTGCCTTTAATCATTTAATATTTTTTCATCTTCCTTCTTGTCTTCATCTCTCTTGGCAACACATTTCACTCCCTTTGTCATCCTGGTCCCGGCTCTTAATTTCCTCATGACGGACTCTCTTGGGGTCCTTCTCCTTCCTTCCCTGATGTGACCCTTCTTTTTTTCCTTACCCCGATAAACCTCTTCACATTTGTGCTCCCTTCTGGTTGGAGATTTCAGAGTGCACTGCAGCCCCAGTTGCAATGGAGGACAGTGACCATGGCGCTTACTCTTCCTCAGCTGAGCAGGACTCATGCCCTGCCTCTCCTAATCACAGCACAGACCACAGTGCTGAGCAGGTGACACTCCTGAGCTTTCCACTTCATTCCCCATCTAGTGAAAGTTTTCAAATTATTTGGCTTCACAAACATTCTCTACAGTTAGAAGAAGGAATTATAGTTCATCTTACAGTCAAACACACCTCTTCTTTCTCAGCTAAATTTTAGCTGTTGAACCTTTCTCCATAAAGCAATATATAGGTATTTTTTATCATCATAAAATATTATGAACATTTCTGTCCTGTGGATGTCTGTTTCTTCCCTTCTACATCACCACTGTACCTTTCATCTGCCTGCCTTCGCCTCTGTTTTTTTTTCGTTCCCCACTTGTTCCTCTGCACTGCCTCACCCACTCCTGTCAACCATGATGCTTCTCTAGCATTCAAGCCATTCAGACGACTCAGAGGTGGAGAACGTTATGCAAGACCTGCAGCATGACCATGACCACAAGCACCACCATGAAGGCCATGAGTCTCATGATGTAGACAGGGAAGCTGAGGGCGAAGACCTCCTCCCCACCCCATCTTATTTGTGCCTCCCTTTGGCGGGTAGAGCACAGTCGGACTCTGGCACTAGTTTGAGGCAGAGCAGAAGTGTGGAGTTTGAGTTGCCGTCCCTTGTCAGTCCGTCCAGGCCCAAGAGCCCCTGGGGTCGATTTGACCCATACAACAGTAATGAGGTAACACAAGAAGGTCCAGACAAGAGCCCAAGAGAGTACAAACAACTCTGTTTTAGTTCAGCTTTCAAATGGAAGTTGTCTGTGCACTGTAATCTGTTGAACAGTTCATCTTCATACTGATGAATACAGTTCATGTGACAGAGTGTGCATGATTCTATAAAATACTAATATAAAAAAAGAAAGGTTAATGTATGTTGATTTTCCTTTGGCGGATCAGGCTGTGTCTTGCTTTTGTTATGTTGTTGACTGTTAATGTGTCAAACCTCTTGTGGGAAGGTTGACGTACTGTCTTTGGTACAAACAGATTTTTGCTGTGGTTAATAACAGTGTTGACAAACTATGTTTATATTCATGTATACATGTTAATGTGCTTCCCTGAAATATTTTATCCTTGTGGGTATTTTTTAGGATCAGGACAAGGAATATGTGGGTTTTGCGACACTGCCAAACCAGGTTCACCGCAAATCTGTCAAAAAGGGATTTGACTTCACACTCATGGTTGCAGGTTGGTCCTAGCTTGCACATTAGCAACCCATTTGATCTGAAGCCCATCTGCAACTTTGCAGAGACTGCTAATCACACAGTCGTGACCTCACTCTTTTTGTCTCTGTTGTTTTTTGTTTGAAGGGGAGTCTGGCCTGGGAAAGTCTACCCTGGTCAACAGTCTGTTTCTCACAGATCTGTACAAAGATAGGAAACTGCTCAATGCTGAGGGTACGGAAGTCACAGCTATTGATATGTATTTTCTTCATTTTGCTTGATAAATATTTGTCCTACAGTATGTCATGGCTCTTATTAAAAGGTTTGTTTGTATCCCTTCTCCTAGAGCGAATCACACAAACAGTAGAAATCACCAAACACACCGTGGATATAGAAGAAAAAGGGGTCAAACTGAAGCTCACCATTGTGGACACCCCTGGGTTTGGGGATGCCGTAAACAACACTGAATGGTACAAGTCAGACCTCTTTAATGACTCAGACGACTTCAGTCTAAATGAAGCTATGAATCTTCAGAGTACAGCTGGATGACCTCATCTGAGCACTGCTGTTAAAAGGGCATGTGCAGTAGTTTAGCTGTTGCCTCAGAGATTGAACATCCCTTTGTGTGTTTCTGCTCTAGTTGGAAGCCAGTGGCTGACTACATTGACCAGCAGTTTGAGCAGTACTTCAGGGATGAGAGTGGCCTCAACCGCAAGAACATCCAGGACAACCGCGTACATTGCTGCCTGTATTTCATCTCACCCTTCGGTCATGGGTATGACAAAGCTTCAGTGCTCCTCTAGGGATTAATTAGCCTGCTCTCTTTCTTTTATTACTGGGAATATAAATCCCTTTCCTGCAGTGTGTAATGTCTGTGTTGGCATTTTGCACCATAAACTCATAATCATAGCAGATTAATTGTACCATGACCTTCACTTTCTCTAAAAAACATACATCACAACAGCACATGTATTTACTTGTAGTGTGTTCAGGCCCATAAATTGTTAATCCAGCAGACTCGTGCCACAGTCGGTGCAGTTCTCTGCTGCCTTCAGTTTAATTTACATCTTGTGCAGTGCTCTCTCTCTCTCTAATCAATTGTGTGTGCTAAGTGCTGATGTGGTACTTTTCAGTGCATTTGTGCACATCCACTGTTCCACATCACAGTGCTTGTTAAGGAACAAATATACCATAGAACTCTAGTAATGCTGCAGTGCATTTTCAGTGTTACAGTGATGGAGAAACTGCTCCCTCTGCTGATGAGCTTCAGTTATGACTCTGATACCACACCAAGTGGTCACTCAAAGCATAAACATCTGGCACCACTGATCTGTTGTCCATCTTATCACAGACTTCATGTTATCACCTACCAGTTAGAGGCAAGGCAGTGTCACTGCCAACATACATGTAGAAATCAGGACCACATCTAAAGGAATTCACAGATAGTTCAAAAAAACTAACATCTGGATCACAGTCATGATAAAAAAAAGTTGCTCCTCTGATCTATCAACATTTATGTAAATGTATTCCTGTTTTTGAGAATCACTGCTTTTGGGTCATGATGCCAAATGATCAAATGAAAACAACATATTTGATTTATAATGGCCTGTAGAGTTAATTTGTTACATATAGAAATGTTTTGTGCTTTATTGTCCTGTTTGTGTGTGCACTGTATCTCTTCTAGCCTTCGGCCTTTGGATGTGGAATTTATGAAGGCACTGCATGAGAAGGTTAACATTGTCCCTGTTTTGGCCAAAGCTGACACTCTCACCCCTAGTGAGGTCAAGAAAAAGAAAATCAAGGTAAGACTGATCTCAACAAATAAACTACAGAGATTTATTAGTTTCTTCACTAAAAGTCTTATTCACACTTTTATGTAAGAAACACGTTTCACTGTATGT